GGTTTTGGGGTTTGGGGGTTTAGAAGCTTCGGGTTTGGGGTTACCTTACGAAGCGTTTAAAGCTAAGGGGCCTGTGGATCTCCAGGGGCTTCCAGCTCTTCCGGTGCTGAGGGCTTCGGGGTTTAGGGTTTAGGGTTTAGGGTTTAGGGTTTAGGGTTTAGGGCTAAGGGTTTAGGGTTTAGGGTCTGGGAAGTTTAGAGCTCGGGAGGTAGAAAAGGGGGGGTTTCATAATGGGTTCAAGGTGGGCTTAGGGTTTAATTAGGGTTTAAGGAGCTTGTAGGGCTGTGGGTGCTTCGGGTTCTGGGGTTTAGGGATCCTGCTAAGTTTCGAGGATCCGACGACAAAAACTTACGGTTGATACCATGACAGGCGGGATTTCTTGTAAATGCAATGCTGATGCAGCACTTGGAGCAGCAGTCCTGTCCACCTACTATTGCGTTTGTCCAAGATGTTTGCCACTATCAGTTTGGATAGTGATCATCATGATCATGTGCACCAAGTCACTATGTTGTGCAAAGAGGCAAGAACGCTGCACACCCCCGTGTTTGGGGCTGAACCCGTGTCACAGTGCGTCTTGTTCCAGAAGCTTCGAACGTCCTGCGGCAGTATGTTGGAAAAGTGGTCATGCTGTAAATACCAGTGTTTTGGGCATGCTCGCACAAGGCGTGAGCGCTTGTGACAGTGTGTCTTGTTCCAGATTCTCAAACACTCTTGTGCAGCATGTGGTGAAAACCCTAAACCCTAAACCCCAAAAGTGTGTAAGCGGCAAAACGCTGTGTACATAGCAGTCTTCTGCGCATGGTCGAGGTTAGAACCGAGGTCACGATGAATGCCACCCACCCCCCCACCACACCCCAACTCCAACCCCAAAGAATCATGCGACATGTCCTTAAAAGCAAGAAACCCCCTAGGAAACTTTACTAAAAGGCTTACTGCACGGGTTGTATGACCCGGGGCCCCTAATCTTAATATTTGGAAGAGGCCCTAAACCCTAAACCCCTAAACCCCTAAAACGCCTCTAAAAGGGCTCTGGGGTCTGGGGTCTCCTTTGGTTTTGTGTCTTGTCGAGGCGGAGGCCTACGTGGCTTTCTACCGCAAGATGGAGGCTCCCCGGCTGCCAGGGGAGTCTGCCTGCCCCGATATGGATGGTAGTTCGTGTGGTATTTGGGCTTTTGGGCTTCGGAGCTTAGGAGTTAAAGGGGCTTAGGAGGAGTTTTGGGGTGAGAGCTTAAGGTTCAGGGTCGTTTTTGGGGGTCTAGGAGCTGCTACCATCTGTCTCAGCCGTCATTCCCATCCCTGATACCCATGAGGGCAGTTTTCTTAGTACGGCACCCTTTTGAAAGGGACCCCAAAAGGGACCCTAATTTAGAAAACTACCCATGAGAGTAGGGAGCAAGGCACCAATGCACTGACTCAGGAACCGAATGCAAGCGAAGAAGTTGAGGGGAGTGCGCAAGCTGACTTGGATGGAGAGTTACCTCCCGAAGGGAGCACGGATCAAGAAGATCCGGACGCATAGCATCGCGACCGGAAGGCTGGTTGCTTTCGGCATCTCTGCGAGACCGCCGGCTCCTGTGAAAACCCTGCGCTGCGCGCAGCTTTCAAGCGGAACTCGCCACGGTCACCGCGCAGACCGGCATCCTTGGGATTTTCAGAGAACTGGTTCAAGCAAGAGAGACATAGACCAGACCGTAGAGACCTTGTGCGAAGTCGCTTCTAGCCTTGCAGAGCAGCAGAGCATCTTGAAGCCCCACTGACCCACTAAACAGCTTTTGCCCCTGAATAGCTTCTGCCATGTTCGGGCCCAGCGAGGGCCATGGCTTGCGAAAGCACGTCCGCGCACAGACAGAGAGGCTCAGGCATTGTGGCAAGCGCACGATGCGCCACCTGGGAGGCGCCAGACTGTAAGGAGGCGGCGCTGGGCAGCTACTTGGACCCCAGGAAAGATCCGCCTTCAGAGCTCATCCTCACCGACGATGTGCGGAGAGTACAGGATGACCTCCTGGTCCGCTTTTCGGAGTCCCCGGCCGAAGCGCCTACATGGTCCCGCCTGGACCAGCGGCCGCCCGAAGGAAGCCCGAGCACGATCCCTTCGAAGCTTTGCCCCGCCAAGTCCAGCTTGGAACATGCAGGACGGTGCTTGGCTTGGCGGTAGACGGGAGCAAGCGGTGAAGTACTTGTGTAAGGTGGGTACTGATGAGTAGCTGTACGTAAGTAGCCGGGTTGAGCCACGAGCCTCTGAAAGGAGAAGCCTTCAAGAATCTGGCCATGGCCGCGTCGAGCCCTGAGAGGGAAGGTTTGGGGTTTCTGCGGGCCCCTGAGCTCACTGCTCTGCATCCTGCAAGGTGCCAGGATGCTACAGGTGCAGCTGACGAGCCGGCGCTAGAGGACGCTCTGGGCATGGATGGATGGGGTTTCGGGAGGTCTATGCTAGGTAGGTCTGCCAAGCTCTCCTATTCACTTCAACGCCCCTGTAGGAAGAGGAGCAAAAGCGTCAGCACATGCATCAGGTGATGATGCAGGCTCCAGTGCAAGAACATCTTCATAGCTCTTCTGTGGCACGCTCTCCTGGCAGGTGTTCACCTGGCTTCAGGATGACTACTGCGGCACCACCTGTGGGCGCACCCGCAAGGCAGCCTACAGGGAAGGCCTCAGCACCAAGAAGAGGATGCAGATGAAGGCCGGGCCATGGCCGCTGTGTAACCTTTTGTTGGGTCTAACCCTAAACCTTAAACCCTAAAAGCCAAACCCTAAACCCTAAATCCGAAATCCTAAACCCTGAACCCTAAACCCTAAACCCTAAGCAGAGCAGAGGCAGCCCTCCAGCTGCAGCCGGGACTCAGAAACCCGCAGCGCCGCCGCGGCAACGCGGTGCCTTCCACTGCGCGGGTGGCGGCCATCTCCGTTTTACGGCAGCTCTTCCCAGAGCATCGCTTCGAAGATCGCGAAGTCCGCGTGGAGGTGGCGAGACCTAGACCTTTGCAGGCAGACGACACTGACTTCAGGTTTCCGCGACTTGAGGCATCAATCTATGGCCGTGGTTCTCCGATGAGCTTGTGCTGCGGCGCGGCCGTCCTCACATTCTTCGATGTCATCTGTGGGGTGTGCGTGATCTGCCTGAAGTCAACCTGTGCCCTGCTGGCAGTAGTCTTGGAAGATAGGTTTATGCTGCTTCGTGCTCGCAATATGTAGGGGCACCTGTGGATGTTCCGCACGCCGTAAGTCGGAATATCAGTAAGAGCTACAAACACAGGGCGACCTCTTCAGATGAATTGTTCTTCGCAATACCTGCACAGCACTCAAAGGCATGCTCATAGAATAGCGAGGACCCTGCGCATCCCTAGATCCCTCAAACCTCAAGGCCGTAAAACCCTAAAGCCTTAAACCCCAAAGACCTAAAGCCCTCCCAAACCCTAAAACCCCTAAACCCTCCAAAACCCTAANNNNCCTAAACCCTCAAACACCCTAAAACCCTCAAAAACCCTTTTAAAAGCTCTCTGAAAAGCGCCTCTAAAAACCTTCTTATAAGAGACCCCTAAAAGCCCTCCTAAAGTGTGGGTAGTTCTCTAAATCAGGG